GCTGTCCCTCCCCAGGCCGTTCCCCGGCAGGACCCAGCTCCTCGGCGCTGCCAGCACAGGCAGCATTTCACACCTGAGCATTCCCCCAGAGAACCAGCACCGCTCCCTGAGCAATCCCTGCAGCTCCCCAGCCCCTCCCCAGCTGCCACGGGGACATGGAACCTTCAGCAGTTCCCTCTCCAAAGGCGGATTTTGGTTCCCTGCCTGGAAAAACAGTAGGCGAAATAGTAAACCCTTAAATTCGAACATGTGTAAGTTATACATCTTATTTCCATTTTSGAGCAACATTCCCTTCGTCAGACATGAGGAAAAAATTACCGTCTGCCTTGGAATATCTCGGTGGAGCATTTATCTCCCGGCCATGATAACTGAATTTCAGGCACTTCTCCCTCTCCCCAGTTCAGGTTAAGTGACAAATTTGTTTGGTGTCCTGCTTGGGATTTGTGCCAGCTGAGCTCTGAGGGTGGGATTTGTGCACTGGCACAGTTCTTACYCTGCAGGGAATGGTTCCCTCTGGAAGCTCTTGGCTTCTGGCAGAGGATGGGAGGATGGGATGAAAGCATGGCCTAACCTGCCCTGGAAATGGCTCTGGGCTCTCTCTGGGCACTGGCTGGGCACAAACTCCCCCCTGGACAGGTGAGGGCAGTKATGTGCCCTTCCCTGGATGGCCCTGGAGCTGGGATGTGCCTGGCAGGCTCTGGGCAGGGGGTTTGGAGGGTCTAAAGGCACGAGTTGCTCCTGCAGCTGAAGCAAAGCACAATCCCTGCTCCTCTCCAGGCTTTGGGGGCTGACAGTTCCCCCAGAACTTCCCCAAGGGCCAGGCCTTAGSCACCTGGGCTGCTGAGCATTCCCTCCTTGTCACTCCAGCACCTCAGGAGTTCAACTGGGGACAGAGCCCTTTTCAGGCCCCAGTGCTGGGCTCTGAAGTTCCTGGCTCATGCCTGAGACACCCAGGATTCCCAGATTCCCTCACCAGGTAGTGAACTGTGGCGCTGTTGACCAGAGAATAATAGAATAATTGGATAATGGAATRATTGAATAATGGAATAGGCTGMGTTGGAAGGGACCCATCAGGATCACTGAGTCCAGCTCCTRTCCCTGCRCCCCAATAATCCCCCCATGTCTCTGAGTGTTATCCAAACGYTCCTTGAGCTCTGGCAGGCTCCAAGAATGGACAAGAACAGTTCTGTTCAGCCCTGGATAAATAAGAGCCTGTGCTGAYCCTGGGTGTTCTCTGGGGACAGCCTTGTCACTTTGGGTGGGTATTTTGGGTTCTTTGTCAATGCCACAACAGGGTTGTCCCTGTGTCCCTGGGAGCTCTGCAGGAGCATCTCAGGACAGGTGAGCAGAGCCCCCRTGTGTCACTGACAGGCCCCACTGACTCCAGGGGTGTTTCAGCATCACAGAGGGTGAAACAGCCCTGCAGGAGCTCCCGGGAACACCCAGCTGGGCCTGCAGGATCACTGGATGCAACAAGGGATATCTCTGAGCAACCAGTGCTGAGGGAGTGGGGGTATAACCCACAGACTGGTGTGCTAGGCACTGACTCCTTCCCTGGTTTGGGAATGTTGGCTTTTCAGAGCCACGGCACCCCTTGCCTTGGCTGGCAGTCCTTGGAGACTCCAGCTAGTGGCATTATCAGAGATCCCCTCCCTGTGTGACTCGTGGCCTTATGGCAGCCAGTGCCAGCTSAGGAATGGCCTCTCCCACCCCCACRGCTTCCCTGGATGTCCCAGCAGGGATGGAGGGGGCAGGGTGGTGACCCAGCTCTCCCTTTGCCTTTCAGGGAGTCCCCCGTGGACTGCAGCGTCAGCAAGTGTGGGAAGCTGGTGGGAACAGGGAGCGAGTCCAACCCCATGAGCTACAGCACCTACATGGATGAGAAGAACGGGCCTCCCCCCAACATGACCACCAACGAGAGGAGGGTCATCGTCCCTGCAGGTACCACCACACCCTGGGGCAGCTTGCCTGCCTCTGCTGGGACTGTTTGTTGTTTACTTTGTTTACCCACTCCCAGAGGAGTTTTCTCTCTTACAAACCACGCAAAAAATAAGGAAGATATCAGAGTTGCTGGCTGGTGGGAATTTCCCATGTCCCAGTGCATGATCTGAATCAGGACAGGCAGCAAATAATTGGTGTTTTTTCTTTTTTTCTTTTATTTTTAATTTTTTTCCTGGAACAAAGTGTTGTTTTAGTGTGCTGAACCAAATCCATCTCCTGTCATGTGTTAGAGGAGAATCTGCTTCCTGGGACACGCAGGGGATGATCAAAGAGGAATGAAGTGGGCCCAAGTTATAACTCCCCTGGTACTCCCCGCATCCAGCTGCACTTTCAAGTCACACTGATTGATTCAAAATGAGCTATTTTGTTTTCATTTTTTTTTGTTAGAAGCAGAAACCCAGAAAAGTTATATTTCACAGGAACCGCATTATCCTTCCAAGAGTTTTCACACAGACATTCCTGTCCAGCTCTGTGTTTGGTATCCACATCTGCTGCCTGGAGCTGGCAGGATGCACTGGATGCGTTTGGACACTTGGGGTGAGAGCTGAGGAGGGAAGGGGTGARGCCTCGACCTGCAGTGAGGAGCTGTTTCCCTGTAACATTTCCAAACACTGTCCTTACAGTCAGGGCCAGGAACTTTTCAGCAAAGGAGCCAAGAGCTCGCCCAGTGCCCATCCCAGAAGTCGCCCTGGCTCTGAGGGTTTCACCAGGGCAGGGGGGCTTTGTTGAGGGCTGGAGCCAGCCYGGGCAGACACAGTGCTGGCAGGAGGAAATGGACTCGTGGAATTCAGCTCCTTTTTTTGAGCGTGGCTTGACCACGAACAGATGACATTCCCAAGCATTTGTTTGCCATTTAGGATGAAAAGGAAAAGCTTGAGCTGAATGGAGTGAGGGGAAGCCAATAAAAGCTTGATGGCAAATCTCAAAGTCCCTCTGGAGCTGATGTTTGAGAGGCTGGCTGAGCTGCTGGGGGACAGCAGCAGGATCGTGTCCTGTGACACCCTGCCTGGGAAGGTGGAGCTGGCACCAAGCAGTCCCTGTGTTATTAAAGGTGTTCCAGGGGAACATTTATCCTGCTCCTCACCAGGATGTTGATGAATATTTTAAAATATCGAGGCTGAGCTAAAGTTTAGTATTGTTGAAATAGGGGAAATTATTTTCAATGGCCCCAGTRGAAGAGAAGGTTTGGAATCTCCTCTTTGAAGGAAAGTGAAGAAAAGGACTTTTTCCCCCTCGTAACCATCCACAAATCAAATCCTTGAGATACTTGTRAAAGAGCAGAGATTTACCAGACTTTGCAAGACAATAATGAACATCATCCCAGATCTCTGGCTGCAGGAGATGAGGCCCAAGTCATCCAAGAAAGGCATTTGGATATTTTAATTTAATCCAGAATGGAGATTTATAGCGCATTAGGGTGAAGATAAGCAAGAATAATGTCACATTAGGCTTACAATAGCAGTAATAATGAGCTCTAAGCCATGTTTCAAGAAGGCAGATTTTCAGAGACCATTCAGTGTCTTTTACAGTGTTTAAAGGGAAGCCACAAATTCACTCTACCCTCTAGATGTTGGGCTGTTTTCAAAATTCAAGATAAATAAGTCTTTCAATTTAAAAAGTGCTTAGAAAGCAGAATTTCAATTAACTATTGCCAGAACATGAAGGAAATCCATCTGTYGTTCTCAAAGCAGACTTGCAAAGGTGTGGGTTTGTAAATTCTGTTCAGAATTTGCCTTTGAGCAGCCCAGGTTTTCTGGARATTCAGCGGGGAAAGGTCTCAGTTATAATTTCCTTTCGCTTGGTCTCCCCTCTCTGTTTGGTGCCCTTATTCTGGAGCTCAGATGCCCAGGAATGCCAGGGATGGGCACTCCTGATCTGTTATGCCCAGGGATGCCCTCAGCCTGGGCTCACAATGTCCAGCCCTGGGCTGAGGTATTGCTTGTACCCCATAAAATAYGGGCAAAGGCATTTCTTGTCCTGCCCAGAGCACCCCCAGAGCCCTGTGCCTGTTCCTGATCCGTGTTCTCAGCTCCCCTGATCTGATGTGGCTGAGGTTTGTCTCAGAGCTGSAGCAGCTGTTAATGACACATCAAACCTCTCCCAAGTTTAAACTTCTTTGCAATCCTCTCCAGCTGCAGCCAAACGCAAATGTGCAACTCAAATTTGGAAACGGGAGCCATGGGGAGAAGCAGCACAGGAAACATCTGAAAATGCAGATATGCTCTGRGAGCCCCTCTGTGGAGTGGTATCATGGCAGCAGCTCTCGCTGGGGCTCTCTGATCGAATGCCCTTTTCAGAATTCAAAGCTGAGTGCTTTTTTTAGTCGCTCATCTCCACGGGGCTCGGAGCCTCCCTGACGTCAGCGCAGCAATAAAGATCCCCCAGCTGGGGCTGTGCTGACAGCAGGGATGCCCAGACTGCACAGACCCACCCAGCACAGCAGAGCTGGGCCTTTACAGGGACACGGGTGCCACAATTGTGTTCCTGTCACGGGGTGAGCAGCTCTGACTCACAGCCGGGCCAGGCTGCTCTGGTTTAGCAGGAACACTTTATGTTATTTTACGTTACTTTACTGATTTTGTTTTACTTTATTTTATTTTACTTTATTTCATTTTATTTTACTTTCATTTTATTTTACTTTTATTTTATTTTACTTTTATTTTATTTTATTTTACTTTTATTTTATTTTATTTTATTTTATTTTATTTTATTTTATTTTAATTCATTTTATTTTATTAATTTTGTTTTACTTTATTTTATTTTATTTTATTTTATTTTACTTTAATTTAATTTTATTCTATTTTATTTTACTTTATTAATTTTTTTTACTTTGTTTTCCTTTTATTTTATTTCATTTTACTTTTCTTTTATTTTACTTTATTAATTTTGTTTTATTTTATTTTATTTAACTTTATTTTATTATATCTTATTTTATTATTTTAAAATGTATTTTATTTTATCTTTTTTTTTCTTAAATTTTATTTTTAATTTTTTTTAAATTTCATTTTATTTTCTGAATCCCTTTGCCTACCATGAACACCCCCTACTCAGGGTTTCACATGCCAGCGGTGGGGCTCCCTAATGCCCATGGTGATGTCACTGCACAGCCCTGCAGAGCCACAGCTGGGACAGGAACCCCCTGTCAAGGGATCAGCTTCCTTTGGGGAGCTTTTTGCCAGGAGAAGTGTCCAGTCAATGTCCCTGGTGTTGCTCCCAGCAGAGGAGCGAGGTTTGAGTGGGTTGGGACAGTCAGGAGAGCTGACCCTGCTGGGTTTCCACCTTGAAGAGAGCAGAGCTCCTTCATCCTGGCARGAGGGTCAGTACAGGGAATCTCTGCAGTGGGAACGATGGGCACYGCCCTGCCAGGGCTGCAGGGAGTGCTGCAGGGCTCTGGGTGCCCACCCTCTGCTCTCTCCTGCCAGATCCCACCCTCTGGACCCAGGACCACGTGCGCCAGTGGCTGGAATGGGCCATCAAGGAGTACGGCTTGATGGAGATTGACACCACCATCTTCCAGAACATGGACGGCAAGGAGCTCTGCAAGATGAACAAGGACGACTTCCTCCGCACCACCTCCCTCTACAACACTGAAGTTCTGCTGTCTCACCTCAGCTACCTCAGGGAAAGTGAGTATTTGGGGCTTCTTCCACCCCCACCCTCACACTGCCCTGGGGTTGGAGCTCCCCGGGCTCTTCCTGCTGGAGGAAGGGGAAACGGACAGAGAAAGGCAAGCAGAGGGAGCAAACAGGGAAATGATGAATAAAATTGGCTTGGAAAGTTCAGCTCACTCAGATAGAGCTACTAATGCTATCAGGGAGGTGRAGAGCTGAACAGGGCTCTGAAGGAGATTAGATAAACCTTACAGATAAAAACATCTGTGGCTATGTGATAGAAATGCACATATTGCCATGGAGATTAAACCTGACATCAACTGATGTGTCTTGGGCAAGCAATTCTGTAGTTTTGCTGTGAGAGGGCTGTGCCCTTTCCACAAACAGGACTCACAACTGGCCAGGGCTGGAGATTTCCTGTGTTCCTGCAGGCCCAGGCTTGGTGGAGAGCCTTAAAAATCCAAGAGTGATTCCCTACATGTAAATATGCTGGAACAGATGTTGTGCAAATGACACAGGACTCAGAGAAAAGGTTGTGAAAATTCTTTGCTGCTCCTTTCTGTCCCACACTGGAGTAGGGGATGGATCCAACACCCATTTTTGCTGTATTAACCCCAAACCAGGAGCTGTCTGAAAAAGCCTTATCCCAGCACCCAAACAGGAATGCTCACCCTAGGGATGGCACACACTCTGCAGGCTAGCAGTCTTCAAWTCCAGCCTTTTCCAAGACTCCAAATGCAATCATGATCACATCCACAGCATCCAAATGTCTCCTCTTCACCTATAAATGGAGCTAAAAGCACTTCCTTTCCCCCCTAAGGTGTGCTACGGGTGATGAGCCAGAGAACTGGAGCTGGGGTCCACATGCTCCACTATGTTTCCAAGTGAAACAGTTTTTATAAGGGTATCATTCTTTMAGCACATCAAAATCAGGAAAAGGTGCCATAAATCTAGATGGGAGCAYAGGAAGAGAAAGGAAAAAGTGTATTTTCTCCAGTAGAAAATCCAATTGTGATGGAAGGGCAGCTGAAGATGTCTCCTCTGGCCAGTGAAGCAGAGAYGGCATTTATTTAGGGTGTTTCTTCAAAGTTGATCTGTCCCTGCCTGAAATCAGTGGGAGTTTCACAGATTCCAGTGGCACATGAGTTAGATCACAGATGGGTGCCTCTGGAAGCCCCACCTTTATTTTTCTTGAGAAGTCAAGCCAAGGAAATGATTCACAACAACAACAAAAAAAAAGCAAACGCTTGGATTTGAACATTCTCTGTCCCTTGTGACGGCAGTAAAATAATTTCCCATCCAAAATCACTGGCRAATTTCATCCCATTTCATCAGCAAAGAGCTGCTGGTCCACGGGAAGCTTTCGAAGGTTTGTCTGTGGAATGACACACTTTCCTGGGAAATGGGAAGGCAGTTTTGTGCAGCCAGCTCTGCTCTGGCCAAACCTGCTGACTGGGGCTGGAGAAATCAGGCACTTTGTAACCGGAAACACTTCTGAATTCCCACAAGATAAACMCCCCAGTGAGGCACTTGAATTGTCTTATTGATAAGGCTTGAGAATTGACAGAGAGATGGAGTTCTGTGGGTTCAAACACAGGACCAGGCTGAGTGTGGCAAGCTGGGCAGAGGAGTGRAATTCCCCATTGTTCAAGCTCTAGGTGGCATCTCCAGGATCATCCCCAGCGTTTGTGTCCTGTTATTTGGGCTGTTCAAAGGCAGCGTCAGGGAAATTGCATTGTTGATCTCATGGCAGGAGCCTGAAAACCTGGCAAAAGCCAGCAAAACCCGGCAAAACCTGGCAAAGCCTGGCAAAATCCAGCAAAACCTGGCAAAACCCAGCAAAACCCGGCAAAACCTGGCAAAACCTGGCAAAACCCAGCAAAACCTGGCAAAACCTGGCTGCAGTGACCACCTTTGCCATCTGCTGCTGCCCATTTGCTCAGGAGCAAATTCCTGCTTGATCCCTTCCATCTTTGGAATGTCTCCATTCCCAGCAGGGAAGCACCAGGGCACACTGACATTTGGGAGCAGCAGCCCCTGGGTCACACCTCACCTTTWAACACCTGAGATTAGGAGGAGCGAACCTCTGCCTCAGTTTTGCTTTCTGTGAGGCGAGAGCAGCCATCCTACCCTCTCCCTGGGCCCATCCCTTGGGATGGTGGGTTAGTAGAGCAGGGATGGTGGATCCGTGGAGCAGGGATGGTGGATCTGTCTGTGGAGCAGGGATGGTGGGTTCATGGAGCAGGGATGGTGGATCTGTCTGTGGAGCAGGGATGGTGGGTCCATGGAGCAGGAATGGTGGATCCATGGAGCAGGGATGTGGGTCCATGGATGGTGGGTCCATGGATGATGGGTCCATGGGGCAGAGATGGTGGATCTGTCTGTGGAGCAGGGATGGTGGATCTGTCTGTGGAGCAGGGATGGTGGATCCATGGATGGTGGATCTGTCTGTGGAGCAGGGATGGTGGATCCATGGAGCAGGGATGGTGGGTCCGTGGAGCAGGGATGGTGGGTCCATGGAGCAGGGATGGTGGGTCCATGGATGGTGGGTCCATGGATGATGGGTCCATGTGGCAGGGATGGTGTATCTGTCTGTGGAGCAGGGATGGTGGGTTCATGGGGCAGGGATGGTGGGTCCATGGGGCAGGGATGGTGGATCTGTCTGTGGAGCAGGGATGGTGGGTCAGTGGAGCAGGGATGGTGGATCCATAGAGCAGGGATGGTGGGTCCATGGATGGTGGATCCATGGAGCAGGGATGGTAGATCTGTCTGTGGAGCAGGGATGGTAGATCTGTCTGTGGAGCAGGAATGGTGGATCCATGGAGCAGAGATGGTGGGTCCATGGGGCAGCAGGGATGGTGCCTCCCACCTCCCACAGCCCAGCACACGAGCCCTGGGGCAGCTGGAATATTCAAGAGCTGCTGCAACAGTGATGAGCAAAATAATCTGTCCTGCCAGGGCAGTGCCTGCAGTAATTTCTGTGCTACAAAGCCAGTGCAAAACTGCTGGATTCAGGCAGATTATTCCTTTTTCACGGGTTATTCAGTCCCAGTGCATCCCCAGCTCCAGGATGATGAATCTGTRTGTGCTCAGCCTCGGACATGCTGCGAGTGCTCTGCTCATTAGAGAAGCTCCTGTCTAATTCCTCCTTCCCTGCAGCTGTTCCCAGCCCCAGCACAGGCTGCCTTGGGGCATGCTGGGTGTCTCCCTCACCGAGGAATGCCTTCCAGAGCAGCTGATGGCTTTTCCAGACCAGCTTCCAGCGGATGTTCAGTGCTGAGCTCTGAGCTCAGTGCCATGGGGACGTGGGCCTTTATTTTCACGAGTTTTCCCCTTTTGGAAGGGTGTTTGTCCCACAGACATCGAGGTCTGCTGCTGCTTAGGGCAGGGAATGCCTAGGGTAGRGAATCCTCCTCAAGCACAGGAGGATTTGGGGAATTGCAGACCTCCAGGATGAATTGCATCTGCCCAGGCTCTCACTCTRAAAGTGTTAAGCTGCATATGTGATGATTTGTGAATCCTCCACTTTGGGCTTTTCTTTCCAAGAAACAAAGCTGATCTGAACTTTCTCAGCCTGTCTGCTCACCAGGCAATGAGACCCTCTGAAAATCAGCTTTTCCAGAAGGTTTTCAGTATTTTACACTCCTTGTCAAAGTAAAAACCTTCAAAAAGCTGCCTATGAAATTCATTATTTTGGCATATCTGAGTCCACATTGAAAAAATAAACTAGCAACATCTGCAAAAAACAAAARCTCAGTGTCAGCTTTGGAGATGAAGGTTCAGGTGAGCTGTGTAACAGAGTAGAGAGTAACCCAAACTCACCCCACAGCACCTTTAGTCTGAGGCCTGGATCAGAAGGGTGCAGTTGTTTCTTGTTTCCACAAACCATTGAAGCAGGCAGGAATTCCTTCATCTCTGATCCTCCGGAGATTCTGGAATGCAGAGCCCAGTCCTGTCTCCCAAAACACCCAGTGGCTTTTTCAGGGAGCTCACTGCCCACTCCCCAAACAATCATTCTTTGCATGTTTCTTTTAGTTCCCTCTCCAAAATTGTTAAGCCATGCCTTGATTTAGCTTCTCTTTGTCCATCCCCATACACTTKGGGACTCCAGATTGATCTTTCTCAAGCACATTGTGCCTCTCCAGGCAGCACTTGGGCAATGGGGAGGGATTCTCCACAGATGTTTCCKTGCTGTGTTTGGGATGAAGATCAAAAGAAGCTGAGCTGTCACCTCCATCCTTTTCCTCCCTGGTGGTGCGAATCACAGTGTGGGGTGGGCACAAGTGAGAAGAGCCCGAAGGGGAAAGAATGAGGCTGTGGTGAGCAGCAGAAAATTGCTCAGTGCTTTCGAGCCATTCATTAATGCCCAACAAAACCATCCTGCCAAACGCAGCAGGACCTGGATTTCAACTGTGCAGGGACAGCCACAGGGCCTGGGGAAGGTGAGGGTAAAGTTGACTTTCAAATTAAGTAGAGATTGTGGAATCAGTATGTTCCTGTGCCTCAGAAGGATGAGCTGACTTGAAAAGCTTTTATGGTGAAAAAACTCTCCTGGCTTTCAGTCTTCTCCATCTTTTTGCAAGGAGCACAAGGGAAATAAAAGGGAAGGTAGGGGCTGCCAACAGATACTGTGTTTAACATTAATTACGGGAGAATAGCCCTACACTGCATGAACAATTCCAGAAAAGGCTKATCCATCCAAGGTGTTGCTGACCCAGGGAGGAGGAATGAATGGGAACAAAAATGAAAATTCATCCCAGCCAAAGCTCTGCCCCCGGAGGAGAGAGGGAGGAGCAGCCTGGCCTGTGTCTSTCTGTCTGTCTGTGCTTCCYTCCATCCTGCTCTGGGTCTCTGCCTTTTTCCCTGTTCCTCCTCMATTGAAAGCCTTAATAGGAAACACATTTCCCTCTCGGTGGTGTTCCCACCAGAAACCTCAGACTGCCGGGCAAAGGTGAGAACTCCGAGCAATTAAAGCGGGGGAGGCGCCGGCCCTTTCCAGCGGCTTGGGCTGCATTTTTCAGCCTAAAGTAGCTATAGGTTGATCTTGCTCGTTCAGTGCTATTCATCACCCCACCCCCACCGCCCCAGCCACTCATTTGCAGCCCATTTAGTCATAGCAAACCACGTTTCTGAATTCCCTAGCACTTCCCTGTCTGGCAGGGGGAAGCGGGGCTGGGCGTTGGATTTAGCATTACTTTAAATAACCTGAAGAGGAGAGAGTGGTGGACAGGAGTTTCCCCACAGATATTCAAGAAAGAAATGCCAAAGCCAGAAACCCTCTGATGAAAACATGAGTTACGTGGACAGAGTTGTTTCAATTCCTCCAGAAGCCAATCTCTCTCAATATTTCAGCCAATCCCTTTGGCCATTGGCAGCTTTYAGAGCCAGGGTGCCCTTGGGATCCCTCTGAACTCTTTACCTCCTCGTTCACTATCCATCCTGCTCTTTGGAAGCATCTCCTGTCTTGCAGCATCTGGTACCATCTATCCTCGCCTCCCTGGAGCAGCTTTGTTTCCCAACACCCCCTACCCCCGTGTCCTCACTGCCTTGTGCAGTCTCTGGCTTTGGTTGCATTTGGGGAAGGAAAGAARTCCCCTTGTCACCAAAACTGCGGGAAAAACAAAACCTGTCTAACAACATTTTAATGTTAGAAAGCCAAGGCATTACTTTATTTTCTGGCCAGGATGTTGTTCTGGCCAGGATGTGCCACAGAAATCATCTCATCCACACATAGGCCGGGTRTGCAGAGAGAATCATTCTAGGACACATAAATATTACAAGATTTCCCCCAAACTTTATACAGTCAAAACCCATAGAACTCTGTTGGTTTAATGTTCATTGGTCCAACGCTGTGCAGTTCTCAGTATTTGGGTTCCTATTGGATCAGGATTTCTTCTCCTCTGATGCTAATTAGGTCTTTCTTCTTATCTCTCTTTTCCTAGACCAGATGCCTCTGACCACACCAGGGCTGATGTTTTGTTATTGGCCGTTGATAGTTCTTGATGGCCGTTGATGGTTCTTATCTTCTGTGCTGCTCCTGCTCTGTTGAGATGTTAACTTCATCAGGCTTTGGAAAGAAACTTTAGGACCCTTCCTTGGGTCAGAGGCAAACAGGTTCTTTGACTGAAATTGTATTAAAAAAAAAAAAARAAAAAAAAAAAAGAAAAACAAACCAAAAAACAACTGTTATATTTTCCAACACCCTGGAGCAGAGGGCCAGCAGGGTCCAGCACCTGCACGAACTCTGAATCCTGGCAGGGAACTGCCTGAACCCCAGCTCCCCCAAGAAAGAGAGACACTGGAGGTACTGAGGGGCATTTGGGATGGTGTGGATCAGAGGAACGAGGCACTGCATGGCTCAGCCACAARGTCCCCATCAGCTGGTGCTGCAGTGCCTGCAAAGAGGAGTCCCCAGCCCTGCTGAGGGCTCTGGGAGGGCTCAGGGACAGAACCCCACTGAGCCCAGGGGGTCTGGGGAGCAGGATGGGTCTGTGGAAGCACCCTTGGGGCAGGATTGGTGCTGCTCCCTTGCCATCATCCCCACAAACAGGGCCCTGTCCCTCAGGGGTGTCACAGACACCAAGGAGTGGCAGGGAAGGTGAGCCCAGGGACTGTGTGAGCACACAGAACCAGACAGCCGTGAAATGGGCATTTCACAGCAGCTTCCCAGAGCTCCCAGGCTCTYCTTCTCCAGTTCCAGGACAGTTTGCAGGAGAACCAGAGGGAAATGCTTTGAAAAGAAATTTCCAGCACAGACTGCAGAGCAGAGACCCTTCCAGTGGGTTCCTTTTTGTGCTGCTCCTGGGCATTTGTGTGTAAGTCAGGCTGGAAGGAAAGGCCTCTGAACAAGGAGAGCTGCTCTCAAATTCCCCAGAGAATGGGAGCTGCTGGAATCCCATTGAGGTCTGTGCAGCTGCTGGCCCCAAACCAAGCATGTGACACTCTAAAAATGGCCAGGTCCTGACAGTGCAATTCATGTCTTTTCTCCTGCCTGTTCCTCAAACTGGAAATTTCTCTATCAAGGGCAGAGAGAGAAGAGTTTCTTCCTTGTCCTGTCTCAGAATCTGTGCCACAGGCATTTCTGGAGGCAATGCTGGGATGGATTCTGTACCTGGATAAATGCACTGACCAGCCTCACCCTTTTAGGTCAGTTTKCAATGGGGAACATCAAGGCACTCAGTGGAGACAAATATCTTTATTTTTTACAAGTGAAGAAACAGCAGCACATGTGACAGTTGCCAAGCTTTTCGAAGAATTCCACAGAAAATGTGTGCCCAGCTGGCTGCAAAAGTAGGGTTTTTTGATGCCAATAAGAACATTTCTTACCTGCTTTCATGGTTTCCTGGCACAGCATGCCCAGACTGCACTAATTCCTTGTCCTTGCCTTGCAGGTAGCTCACTGCTGGTCTACAACACTCCATCCCACACAGATTCCTCACGTCTTGCCACCAAAGAAGGTCAGTGTCATGYATATCAATGTTCTGGGTTTGACTGGGTTAAAAGTAGACCTTTTTAGTAATATCCTCGGCATGAAAATGTTCTGCACTGCTCTGTGTGCACAGCTTGGTTAAAATAGAATAATTCACTCTGTGCTGTCTCATCCAGGCTGGAAATGCCATCTCTGCTTGTCCAGCCAGCAGTGTGGCATCAAATGTGTCACTGTCACACTTTCAGGTATTTTCCTGAGCTGCTGAACTGAAGGCACAGATTTTGTTCCTGATGTGAGCAGTCTGAAATCTCACACAGACAGCAAGACCTGAGACAGWTTCTCTCTGAGTTCACACTTGAAAGGATAAAATTACTGAACYGAGGCCACTCAGGTGTTCCAAACCCATCCATGAATCTCTAGCACATTTCAACCWGCAGGGAAGACTAAATGTATCTTTTTGACACTTCCATTTTGGAACATTTTGATTTTCTTTTTGTTTCAAATAACCCATTTTTTAAAAATCTAATGGAAATTCTGACCATATAGCTGCAGCTTAGAAATGTTGATTTAAAAGTTAATAACCTTTCTGAGGTTCCTTTAGGCTTTTGAGCTGTTTGTGTATCCCTCAGTCAGGTGTTTCAGGTTTTTCTCTGCAGCTCCAGTCCAGCTCTTTTTTTCTATTTTATTGCCAAACTGGACTGTCAGTCAGGAGAACGCTGTTGGTGTGATGGGTGTGATCACAGAATGCCACAATGCTTTGGGTTGGAAGGGACCTTAAGGATCACCTTGTGTGGGACAGGATGATGCACATCCCTTATCTGCACAGAGAAGAGGTAGAATTGACAACAGCTAAATAGGGTGATAAAGAGGTTGAATTCATAACAGCAAATAGGGCGATAAAGAGCAAAAGTCTGTTCCTGTGCCCTACAGCTCCTGTGTGGAGTCTGTAACCCCATGTGTAGGGATGTAGCCCTCAGTGGGGCTTTCCTTTCCCTCTGTGCTTCTGCAGGATTTGGRTTTGCTCCCWGTGCTCCCAGTGCTCCCAGTTTTYGGCCTCARCACTGGAAAGGYTCTGGGAAGGGATGGAATCTCCTGCTTACCCCAGCCTGTCTCTGTGCCAGTGCCCTCACTGTCACAGATGAACTGTGACACACAAACATCTCTCTGCTCATCAGGAGGACATGGCCTCATGAACCAGCCACAAGTTTGGATTGCACAGAGCAGGGGGGAAAGGCAGAAGGTCTTTTTTGGAAGTAGTCAGAGAGACAAAACCCCCTRTTCCCCTGCAGGGCTGCAGCAAACAGAGCCCTCATTTCACCAGCTCCTGCATGGAGTGTTCCCTGCCGCTCTCAGAGCTCTTCTCCCTGCATTTCATCCCCAACATTGAACCTGGGCACCACACCAGGGCAGCTTTTTGCAGCAGCTCCTTTTGCCCAGCATGTCCCTGCCCACCTGAGCTCCCTGGCACACTGCTCTCTGCTCTGAGGCAGCAGCAGTTGATAGAGCAGGGACATCACAGGGACAAAGCAGGGCCATCACAGGGACAGAGCCACTCAGGCCATGCTGTGACTGCTGCTTTGACATTAACCAGCATCTTTTTAAAGTTCATCTGAGCTGGGTTTGCTCCTGTGTGAGTAAAGCAGGCACACATGTTCCTCCACAATTTCCCCTCATGTCCAAACCTCTGCTCATTCTGTCTCAGGCCAAGCAGTTGCTAAAAATAAAGCCAAGAAAAGTGTGAATGCTTTTTTCTTTTTGATTTTTTTTTTTTTAATTGAAGCAAAGAGCTCTGTGAAGAACTGCATGCCTCTAAATTTTTAAACACTGTGACTCAGGCCTTGAGTCACTCAGGCTGCAAGAAATTTGAGGGGAAATTGTCCCTCCCCCTGCATTTTTCRTGGCCTCAAGAGTGTCTCTGTAGTGCAGCTGACAGAGCTCTGGGCTCACTGCTGTCAGCRTGGAGCCCTCAGCTTCACATGGAACTTTCATCATGTGTCAATAAAGGACCAAGCACACCCCAGGGACAGGCAAATAAAAATTAAGAATTACATAGAAATGTTGAAATCCCATCTATTCCTCCCCCATTTCTTTCTACAAGGCATAAATTCCATCATTCCTTCTACACTGGATGTTGGTGTGGGATAAAGTGTCCCACTGCACCCACTGGGGTTATTGCTGAGATAAGATGTCAGGACAGGAGTCAGGAGAACATGACAGGCTGGCAGATAAGGGACAGTGCGAGCAGAATGAAATGTCTGATCCAATAGCACAGCAGAAACCGGTGATGCTCATAAAAATGGACTTGGAATTCCTCAGCCTCAGTCTGGTTTGTCAGGAAACAAGATTTTCCTTGTTTCTTTTTTAATGGGCTTGCTTCAAGAGGATGATATTCCTTTGGAAAAGGAATTCCAGGTTAATAATAATGATTTTTACAAGTTAATCTCTCAAAAGATTAAACATTTTTCTTTATGTCAATGCATCTGGAATCTGCCAGTCCTGTAAATATTTCTTCCCTCTATGCCTGTGAATAAAACCAGATGAGTTTTTTTTAACTACCTTCCCTTGAGGCTTCAAAAGCAGGTGATGAAATTGTACCMAAAATGCCAAAGATAGGATAAGAATACCACTTTCTCCTCTCCTCCTGTGATTTTTCTRTATAACCAAGGCAAGTAACTTGCTGGTGCAGATTCCAGGGAGAGCCACAAGCTCTTTGCATACATTTACACTGGACTTTACACAACATGTTCCATCCACGGCTGGAAAAAAAGAACCTACACGGCAAAAAAAAAAAGTGCAGCTGCAGCACAGACAGCTGCAGATGTTCCAGATGCTCCCTCCCCCAGAATGGTGTCCCCAGGAGCACAGGGAGCCTGGCCCGTGTCCCACTGCCATCCCAGGGCTGCCTTTGGTGCCCTGGCTGCAGCTGCAGACTGGACTCCCTTTTCCCTTCTGTTTTCTGCCCTCTCAYTCTCTTCAAACAGCAGGAGCTGCAGCTCTGCTTTGGGGCCCTTAAACTGCAGATCCTTACAGCAGAAATCTTGGGGATCTTTACAGCAGATCCTGTAAAAGCCACRGCTGGGGCACAGGGCAGCTGAGGGCTGTTCTCACATCAGAACAGACAGATAGAACCCTTGTCCTGTWGCCTGAGCTTCTTCCCTTCCCAGCCTCATAAACACTCCAAAGGATGGGGCTGAGCATCACTGGGACAAATTGTCTTCAGCTGCCTCGAGGAGTAAATGGCTCTAAGGAAAATCACCAGTATTTTTTGCTGGAGAGCAATTTTCTGGGAGATGAGGCYGAATGGCAGGAGCCATGTCCCCCTCCCAGCCCTGCACTGCAGAGATGGTCTGGTTCATTTTCTGGGGYTGTTTGGAGCACTGAGGGACAGGGCACAGGAACCTGACCCCACAGATCTGCCCTGGTCCGGGGAGAGCTGACCCTGCTCTCCTGCAGAGCGGGGTCACTGGAGCAGGTTTCCATAGGGAAAGGGGAAGAATATTCACATTCAACAACCTTGGGAGGCCAAAGGGCCCTGTCCCCAGGGACTCTGAGCTCCCTGGCCTCGTCCAGCATGGTTTGAAAGCTGTGCTCCATTTTCAGCGTGTCAAGTCTGTGTGATTCTTGTGTTTAACACATGAGCGAAATTCTGGGCAGGAGCAGAGCCCAGGGCAGGGCTGGCAGCTCCCCGTGAGGCAGAACCCTGGACTGTGGATGTGTGAAGTTCCCTGTGGCTGTGTAACCTACGGGAATGCCTGAGCTGGGGTGTGTGGTGCTTTCAGAATGTGCTGATCCCAGGGGGTGAGAGCAGGCTCAGCATCACACAGAACATGGACCACAGGGCTCCTGGGGCTATTTATCTCAGGGTCATTTAGGATCTTGGTTCAGAATCCAGATCCAGCACTGTCCTCTGCATGTGCCAGGTTCAGGCCAAGGCAATAGAACCCCTGAATGCCAGAAYTGGAAAAGACCYCTGAGACCATCGAGYCCATCCTGTGCCCAATCYSCACCTTGTCCCCAGCCCAGAGCACTGAGTGCCACCTCCAGCCCTTCCTTGGACACTCCAGGGATGGRCACTCCAAACCTCYCTGGGCAGCCCCTGCCAAGGCCTGASCACCCTTTCCAGGAAGAAATTCCTCCTGCTGTCCACCCTGAACCTCCTCCAGCACAACTTGAGGCMGTTCCCTCTTGTTCTGTTGCTGTTTCCTGGGAGAAATCCCAGCCCCCACCTGGCTCMTGTCAGGGAGCATCCCATCCTCCTTGAGCCTCCCAGACTTGGCTGAGCACAGTGACAAATCAGCCCAAAGTCTCAGAAACCCGACACAAACTCAAGCAGAGCAAAGCAGGAAAAAGGGATGTGCTGCCTTTTAAAGAGGGAAAAATCTCTATGTGAATGCATGAATAGGGATGGAGGGGTGGATTTTAAGCGTTTTTTCCTGTGGTTATCCCATGTTTATGTTCCCATTATAGACGTGGCTGTGCGAACAATGAGGATGTTTAGGTACAAGGTGTGTGTTTGTGTGTTTGGTGGGGCTGTTGGCAAATCTAAGAAGATAAATAAATCAGTGAACTCTGAAACTCAGCATGGTTTCCTGAAGATTTGTGTCCATATTCGTTGTGAGGCCCTAAGGAAGATTTTCCTGGTGTTGGAGCATCAGTAAATTCTCTCTCACACCAATTCCCTGGTACCTCACAAAATTCAAGTCTTTGCAGCTGCTCTTCTCACCATCAAGGCTGCAACCGCTCTCCTCTTTTCCCTGCAGCTTCCTCTAAATTCGTAGGAACTCCTCAAAACTCTTCTCTCCCACTTGTCAAATTCAGTGACAATTTGGGGTGACGGGTTCAAATTTTGAGAGACTGGGGAGAGAGGGGCAGAGACTGCAGGGAATGTGGTTGCATAAGCACAGCTCCTACAGAAAAACACTTTCAAATTCCTGCATTAAAGCCTTCTCCTGGAAAGGCTATTTTTCAGATCTGAAAGGTTGTAGTGAAAAATCTTGTCCAGTTTCAGTGACTCTGAGCGTGTCAGTG